TTTAAAATATATTTTCATATAATAATAGATTTAAGTATTAGAATATATTTTATATTCTTAGTTTCTTTAAACATTACAGACTTATCTCTTGATAAGCTTTTATATTTTACATAAGTTTTTGTATTTTACTTAACAAACTGCTTATAACCAATTATTAAATAATTCGGATTGAATTGTTTCTTAAAAATTGTATTAAATTTTTCACATTGGAACTTTTTTAATAAATACGTTTTATAAAAAGATTTTATAAAAAATTGTATACGTATATCGGAAATGTTATCTCATTAATAATTCTCGCATTTTCAATCATGACATGTTGTGCACGTTCATTTGTTAATACATTAAAATGCGCATTAGAAAAAAAGTGTCTGTATAATAATTTTATGCATAAAATACAGATGCATTATTTTATTTTATGTAATGTGCTACGTGTATAGTAATTCCCTCATATGCACGACTATTACGCAAATGTATAACATGTACACGCGCGCTTGAGCGATTCGTTCGCGATGAACCCTAATCAAGGACATGCGATATTTCACAGACAGAATTTCCTCTAGATCCAACACGAAGATTATCGAGCAATGAATAGATAACCATTGCAGAAAAGTCACGCGAAGTTGAGCATTGTGCTTTGCGAGGATCGTATCGTAAAAGCGTCATCACAATTTTCGCGCCTAACTGTGAATTTCTCGTAATCTGCACATGATCTAATTTCCTTTTTGAGTGTCATAACGTCATAAATAAACATATACTCAATCAAATGAGACCATTTTCATATTATATTCATTGTTATTTATGTATTACATACAAGCATTATTAATACAAATTTTTTATTAATTATAAAAGCCTTTTATTTTAATTAAGATTTGAAGAATAAGAATAAGAATTTAATTTGTGAACGGACTCAGGTTTACATACAGAAATCTTCTTTCTCATTTATAATATTCTAATTCTGAATAAGAGCACCAATCAATAAACAAACAAGACATTCGCGATGTATATTATAAATTATAGTGCGTACCTACACACACACACACACACACACACACACACACACACACACACACACCACACGCGCGCGCGCAAAAGAAAAATAATTACCTAATAGTTGTTTATTCTTTAAAAATGTCATCTATAAAAAAATAAGAAAAAGTAAATTTTTATTAAACAGTGAAAAAATACAAAAAAGTACTAGTTAATGATGCGTACTACAAGTAAATGATGCGTACTAAGAAAAAATAAATAGGTACATCTTTCTAATACATGTACGAGGATCGTTTGAAAAGTTTTGAGCCTTAACATAAAGATAGCATTATTCATCAAAAACGAGGGTCGTTTCAAAAGTTTTGAGCAACAAACATGAAAAATGAAAATGAAACATTACTCGTCAAAATTGTTCTGGTACTAACTATCCGTTCTGGTCTACTACAAATCCGCTCTGGTACTACAATCGTACATATTTTGCAAAATATCTGTGAAAATTGTAGTCATTTTGAACGCTCAGTTGTTGCTTGAAAATCATTCGTGCATGAAAGTCGATGTCAGTGTTTTCGTTTGATGAAAATCTCTGTCCTCCGAGCCTAACTTTGAGTCTAGGAAACAGGAAAAAGTCGTTGCGGATTAGATCTGAATACGGTTGATAGTTAATTAATTCAAACCGCAATTCGTAAATTTTTGTTATGACGATCATCGATATTCCATTTTATCCGATTTTTTTCATTTTTACAAAAACACTGACATCGACTGGCACAAATGACTCTCAAACAACAACTAAGCGTCCAAAATGGCTACAATGTACACAGGTATCTTACAAAATATGTATAATTATCCTCACCATTACCAGAACAATTTTGATGAGTAATGTTTCATTTTCATTTTTCATGTTTGTTGCTCAAAACTTTTGAAACGACCCTCGTACATATTCCGTTGACATTTAACTAAATAATGATAGATATTATTAAATTTCTATTATAAATACATTCATTAAAATAAAGTATGAAGCGAAAAGTGTCTCTTCATAGATCAGAAGATGCTCAAGATTCAGCCGAATTGAAAGCACTTCATTATTTGCTGCATCTTGTAAGTGGTTCTTTCAAGATGTATGCGGCATCGGCAATCTCCTTTCGTCAAGATGGAATTTCTCTTGTCGCGTCCTTCTGTAAGTAGAATACGCGAAGCAAGAAGAGAGTTTCGAATTGGAATAACCCAGTAACAATGCCGTCGCGGCATTTTCTAGCTTTTGAGACGCAAGAAAATAATGATACAACAATACGCATACAATCACATGGCAAAAATATGATAGCCTTCCGTATTGAAAGGACTCGGGAGGACATCGATATTAGGAAAGAAATATTAAATGTAAAGTGCAAAAAATGCGTTCTCAGGCCCGGTTTCTCTTGTTAGAAACAAACGACAATTACAGTCGTCGCAAACAAGAGTGGTAAAGTAATCAAGTATACGACGAAAGAATTCGAAAGAAATAAAAATGCAAAATAATGCTCGTGTCTATTACGATATTGCACAAGTATATAAAAATTTAGCAAGCTACAAATTTGAAAATTATTTTTAGTTTGACCAAAATAATTACGTAGTAATCTCAAGCATGAGTAATAGGAAAAGTTTTTTAATATCAATTTTTTCCTAGCAATCAATTTGAACATTCTATATAATTACTTTAATGATGGGTGTCTTCACGAGTTTTACATATTCAAATCTGATTTATTTTCCACGTGATTGATATAGAAGATGAAAAAATGAAAGACATAGAAACGATTGTGTCTTGATGATACAAAAATAACAGAAAAAAGAATTAATTATCAGAATTGCTCAGAAATTACATAAATAATTATTTAAATTCCAAAAATATGCAAACATGCAAAAGGAAAAGAAAACTTCCGAATTACTGCTTCGCGATTTTTCTAATGACTAAATTTTATTTCAAAGTAACAACTAATTAAAATAAAAAATGTTTTTTCACTAAAAAAACCTTTGAAAAATATATGCAGTGTCCCGAAATTTTTTGCCAAGCGCTCTTGTATAGATAGAGCGGATTAAACCGAAAAGTTCTCTATCATTTTGCAATTTTCACAACAGTTAACAAGACATTAATTATAAAAAATTGCCGAATATTGGCCTTGCATAATTTTTTTCTCAAATGCTATCAACTTTACAGAAGAACTGTAACAGACAAAAATTGTTTATTTTCTTCTCA